GGGTTTCTGGGAGTTGCAGTTCAAAAGCATCCGAGTAACAAAGGTTAAGAACCACTGCTGTAGTACTTCAGTAGCACTAGATGGTGGTAACATCCCAGTGAAATGCTAGTGCCCCCTCTGATTTTTCAGCAGATTTCTGTCTTCCTTTCTGTGTGTGTGTGTGTGTGTGTGTGTGTGTGTGTGTGTGTGTGTGTGTGTGTGTGTGTAACCTTTGTAAAGGGGTTTGCATCTCTTGTGACAGCTGCTGATTCAGCCAAAGCACAACACTGCAATAAAAATGGAGAAGGAAACAACCCATAAATTACAAGCGCTATAACAAGGAGGTCCCGTTGTCACTTCATCCTAATTTCAGTGGCTAAGACACTGATGGACTTTGCTTTGTCCTCTTCAGCATCGTTTGCATACGAATGACAACGTGCTGGAAGGGGTTCTACACCCATGTGCATGCACAGATGGTTGCAAGGGGCCGAAAAGGAAACACCCAGAAATAACCAGGGTGTTGGTTAAATGTGTGTGTTAACAGAAACAGCAAAGAGTTGGTGGTTGCCTTAAAGATTGCAATAAAAACACAGAAAGTGTCAGCAACGTGATGATCTTAAAATGGAAAAATGGGGAAACTGTTTGGTTGTGCTATGCCAGATCCCTCTCTTATTAGTACCCATTAGTTTTGAAGCACAGCATCAGATATCTCAGGTCAGAGACATCTCTAACATTTCTACAAAAATTTGCCAGATTTTCCAGAAAATTCACCCCAAAACAGCTTGTTTCACAGATTTTCCTTCTGCAGTTGGAACATGCTTGCCAATGTTGACGCTGGATCCACCTCCCTGTACATTCATCCCATTTCCTTTCCTCTCTGCAATGGATGAAATCTTTTCAGAAATCTGATAAACAGGCAAATCTTTTCTTGAGGCCATACATGCCAAGGTCCCTCAAGGAACTGCCCACAGAAGCACCATCATCTAGATGCAGGATGATCATTGCATTATGGCCTCCGCTTGGAAAGTTAGGTGGCTTAATGGTGGAAACTTTGATTATTGTATTCAAATCACTGCGTTCAAATCATTTGAATGAGGACAAACATTTTTCACCATTACCTGCACAGTCTTACAGCTATGAAGTCGGTATTATTACACTGCAGATTGAAAGCGTGAGGCTGTGAGACCTAAGTTCACTGGAAATATGAATTTTCCAATTCACAGCTTATTTTCTTTCCCTACTTGTTCTTGCTGCTAAGGAGACGAGCCTTTGTGGTTTTTAATGTTGTTGTTAATGTTGCTAATTCAGGAGCGTCATGGAGCAGAGGTTAAACTGCAGTGCTGCAGCCAAAACTCTGCTCATGACTGTTCAATCCCAGCCTTCCAGCCTTCTGAGGATGGTAAATTGACTGCCCAGTTTACGTGTAGTCTCTGTGATTAAATTGTAAGCTCCTCAGAGAGTGCTTTAAGTCCTATGGGGCAGTATAGAGGAGGCACACTTCTTAAAAAATGTTTTATCAAGTTGCTCACAACTTGTGGCATGAATGAGTGATCTCGAAAATATCCTGTCCTCAACAGTGTCCTGCTCAGCTCTAGCAGACTCAAGCCCGTGGGTAATTTTGGGGAGTCAGTCCACTCAAGCCTGTGGGTTACTTTAGGGAGTCACTCCGTCTCATGTTGGTCTTCCTCTTTTCCTTCTGCCTTCCACCTTTGCTAACATTATTGTCTTTTCCAAAGAATCCTGCCTTCTCAGGATGTGCCCAAAGTAGGACAGCCTCAGTTTCAACCTTTTTGCTTCCAGAGATAGTTCAGGCTTGATTTGATCTAGGGCCCACTTGTCTGTCTGGCTGGCTGGCACTCCAGGGTATCCATAAAGCTCTCCAGCGCTGCATTTCAGACAAATCAATTTTTGTTTACGTCCGCTTGTCTATGCCGGCAGAAAGAACTGGAGCAATAAAACCAAGGAAAAACTCTCTTCTGGTGCCCTTCCTGTCTCCTGACTCTGATCTACCATTTCATTCTTCCAGTACAAAACCAGCACATACACACCCCTTCATTTGTCCTTCTTTAAAGACACCAGGAGCACATCTGGATAACAGGGCCGGGAAGGAGAGAAGGGATAGCAAACAAAGAAGCTTGCAGCCATCAGAAGCCAACCTGATTTGCATCCAGCGAGAAAGGCCTCCAGCATACCTGGGGCAATACTATTTGCTTTTCTATTCAAGAGCAAACCTCACAGTCCTGTATTTCTGCTACACCTGCTGCTGCAGTTGCGAAGGGGTCTCTGGGGAACATTGCCTGCTTTTATAGGCAGGCACCCTTTTCAAGTTGTCAACGTTCTCCACCCCTACAGTCACAAAACGATGGTTGCTTTTGACTGGCAGCACTCAGCGGAATCCCTTCTCGAAACATCTTTGTCCCAACGGCACAGGAGCCAAAACCACCACGGAATATTCAGCGCAAATGCAAACTATTTCCATAGATAAGTCATTCACTAGATTAATTCAAGTGTCAGAGGAAGGAGACACAATCCTAATGTAAATATATTTTATTTTATTACAGATAAGCTGCCTTTGGGAGCCGTCTGGGTCAAAAAGGGAAGGCATAACCCAGGCAAAGAATGAATAAACTCAGAGTAAACAGAAAGCAGGTCATCGCTATATTTGTATTTTCTGTGGCTGGGATTCCTGATCAGAATGTTAGACAGTCTTGTTCTACAGTAGCCACAGGGTCAGCCTAGGAACATCCTAGTTCAAATGCCCTCTTGATATAGCAGTGGTTCCCAACCTTGGGTTTCCAGATGTTCTTGGACTAAAACTCCCAGAAGCCTTCACCACGAGCTGTGCTGGCCAGGATTTCTGGGGGTTGGAGTCCAAGAACATCTAGAGATCCAAGGTTTGGAACCAATGTACTATATAGCCAATGGGACAGTGTCATTGTGAAGATAAAATGAGGTAGAGGGAAGAACCATAGTTATGAATTGGAGCTCTTAGGAAGAAAGAGGGAGATAAGCATACATCTGCTCTTCTTGGGATTTAACAGAATCTTCTCTTGCTGTGCCTCTATATCTAAGGAAGCACAAGACAACATGGTATCTGACAGACATTTTGGACGACTCCCAAAATTCCTTTTTATGCTGTCTGAAACTTACAAACTTGCTCTAGGTCAAGTGTGTGTTTGTGTGTGATGTGCCATCAAGCCTTATCTGATGTAGAGTAACCCTAAAAATATGTGTACAATCGTAGTTTTATCAGTATCATCCCAACGCCCATGACTTTCCATGGCTAAGCAGGGCTTCGAAACAAGGTCTCCTAAGACCCAGTCTGTCACTGAATCCACTACACCACGCCTAGGTCAACTAGTTCTGCTTCAAGCTGGCATCCAGAATAGGATGGAAGGGTGTGAGCCTATTAACATTTCATTCATCCATTATTTTACATCTGGAGTAAGAGATGGTTGTGTTGGTGAGACAAGCATGACTAGATGGTTGAATGCGTATGCTTGCTTCTTTAAGAGGTGGGGCTTATGGAGGCATCACAACGGCTGCTGTGTCTCTGCTAGAAAGTTGCAGATCCAAAGCTAATCCATTTGAAGAAGATAATAGAAGCTGGTGAGAGGCTGCTCAGGGTTGATCCTCTTCCAGATTATTACACCTACAAAGCAATGGGGAACAGCCCTTGGAATCATAAATGTGTTTCGTCACCATGGCACTTGTGCAAATTAAGAATAAAGGATCGATTGGCTCAGTTCGTTTGTTGCAATTGAATTTGTTTATCTTGAATGGGTGGGGGACCTGGATGGGAAATGTTCAACCTCTGGCAAGTTTCCTCACTTCCAGAGAGGAGCAACACAAAGAGTGTCATTAAAAAAAAAACCTCATCAAGTTTATTTGTGCAAGCTCTGTGCAAAATTGATTCCCTTTCCTTTAGAGAAGCAGAGTGCATTTGCATGCATGCAAATACACAGAGCAAGCAATGAACAACTGGTTGGTTAATTAAATATATAGGCAACCTTTTCTGATATTTCTAATCCTTAGAAATCCATGCAACAAAGTCATTTTACATTTGCAGCATTAGTTCTATTAACTGTGCCATTTTGTTTAGTTTGTGCCAAGAAGCAAACATCCCCCCCCCTTCTTCTTCTATAGTCCAGAGCAACACAAATTATCTCGCCTTGGCATAATTCTGCTCCAGCACATCCTCATGTGGGAAGATCAAGCAAACAAGGTTTCAATATCTCTTATGAAAATACAACTGTGTGATCACAAGAAAAAAACAATGGCCTTCATAACAAAGCCAGTACAGTCAGAGCAGTGTGATTCCACTCTTAACTGTCAAAGGTTTGATCCTGTGGAATTCTGCATTCTGTAGTTTTTCCTCAGTGGGATTCCACAGGACAAATAATGGCAGTTAAAGTAAAACCAGTGTATATAACTATATAACTTTGTGGTGTAGATACATGTTGGCTGAAATCCTGTTGCCTAGTGTAGTAAGTTGCAACTACAGTAGGCCTACTAAATCAGCTGGAATTTGGTGAGTCAACTGCTCTGTAAGTTCAGTTAATTGAATAGGCCTACTCTAGGTAAAGGTAAAGGTTCCCCTTGCAATGGCCTTCATAACAAAGCCAGTACAGTATAGAAACCGCGGTGCTCAACAATTGCAGTGTCCACCCTATACAGTCAGAGCAGTGCGATTCCACTCTTAACTGTCAAGGTTTGACCCTGTGGAATCCTGCATTCTGTAGTTTTTCCTCACTGGGATTCCACAGGACAAATAACTGCAGTTAAAGTAAAACCAGTGTACTATATAACTGTGTTGTGTAGATACATGTTGTCTGAAATCCTGTTGCCTAGTGTAGTAAGTTGCAATGACAGTAGGCCTACTAAATCAGCTGGAATTTGGTGAGTCAACTGCTCCATAAGTTCAGTTAATTCAATAGGCCTACTCTAGCTGTGACTTACTATGCTAACCAGCAGTATTTCAGCCGTAAAGACTTGGAAAACTAGATTCTAGTCCGCACTTAACCATGAAATTCGCTGTGTGACCTTAAGCCAGACTCTCTCACTCAGCCTGAACTACCTCACATGGTTATTATAAGAATAAAGTAAGGAGAAAAAGACCCACATGCATTTTCCTGAGCAAACAGGAGAAAAGAAAAACAGGATATAAGTGTAATTAATAAATACAAATCATAAATTACATTCAAGGACATTTTGTAAGGAACTGAGGCCAAGTTCCTTTAACAAGGTACCCACTTACTTAGAGAAGTAGTTTAAGAACGGACAAACCATGTACTTCTTTTCAAAAGATCAGGTATGGCAGGAAACAGAAGTCTGTATTTTCAAAATTTATTTTCAGTTTTTAACAGTGACACTGATTACATACAAGTCCCGTTGTTTAGAATATGATTTGTCACTAGCTGCCTAATGTTCAAGGGGGTCTTTCATTTCCCAGATTTTCCCAAAGGAAGTAAGTTACAGCGGTTAAGCATCTGGAGCTACTAAAGACTTCATGTGTAACAGTGACCTGTAAAAAGAAACTCTGGAAATTAAAAGACAGAAGCTGGAGTGCATGTCCTCCGACCACAGCTGTAGTACAGCTGAAGAGAAATCTCTTTTTAAATAGGGGTTCGCTTGATCGTATATAACCAGAATCTCCAAATACTGCTTTTTTTAAAAAAAATCTCTAAAAACAAAATTTATATTATGTTGAACTTCAGTCCGAGCTGTGATCCACCAAGTACAAAATGAAGTCAAATTGTTCAACCAATATCATGGGGAATGGTGAAAGGACACACAAAATATGGATGTTTTGGAATGTCTACATTGGAAACTGAAGAAATATTCGAACCTGTTTTCACTTTGATAGCTCTTTAAAAATCCCCAATATCCTTTGGGGAAAGTCTGGAAGTTGAACTAGTTTCATACTGGATTCAAGTATGTGGTGCAGACACACCCTTAAACAGAAACAAAGATAGCATAACTTATACACTTGGAGAAGTGGGGGGGGAGAGAGAGCTTTTCTACAGTCTAGCTACATTTGCTACATATCCTTCTAGTGTCTGCTTCTCCTGTCACAGCACTGAGCTTCATTACATTTTATTTCCAAATAATATACAATCAGAGTTTGCCAGCCAGCAGCTAACTCCAAACAAACAAACAAAAACTGCTGAAGAAAATAATAATTAACCCCCTTCCCGTGATAAATAGGCAAAAAAAAAAAAGATAGCAGCCCATTTCACTCCATCATGAGCATCTTTCTTCAGGAAGAAAGCTGAAGTTCCTAAATTTGTTCAGTGAAATTTCAGTAGAGTAGGTTCTCTTCTCCTCGCTGACATAGGAAAGTCCAAGTTGGAATGCCAATGGTTGAAGAGAAATTTTACTTTAGCATCCAGCACTCAAGTACACAAGTAGCAGCAGGTTTTTAACACATCAAAGGAGCAGCAGGGCGAAAATAAGAAGTGTTGGTAGTGGAGAGCCTTGGCCAAGTGTTTCGAAATTATGCAAAGCAGATTCAGATCTTCAGATGAGTTTCCTCCTTATGATCTTTGATCAATCACTCGTCACAGACCTGTGGTCTAATCTGATGATCTGTCAGGTGTTAAGAAGTCTTGTCTGTTTATTCTTGAGTAAACTTGCACTTCTTCCTTTGTACAAAGTCCTAACATGCCTTAACCAGCTGCACAGTGCTCATAACTTAAAATGTCACTTGATTTAAAGGGCGGGGCAGGGAAGAAGAGAAAGGAAAATAAATAAATGGCCTCAATCACGGCCATCAATAATAAGAATCCATGTCCAAAAAAACAAAAAACAAACCAGCAGCATGAGCAGGAAGCTAGACATTTATTAAACCCTTCCCAGTAGCGTCGACCTAAAGAGAAATGAAAAAAGAGAATGGAGGAGAAAATGAGAACACAAATAAAGTACTTCTGAAGTCAAATTGTTCAACTAAATACACTGGAGAAAGCTGGCATTTCATGCCCTTTTGAAACCAGCATCAAAAGCTTCTTGACCTTGCGAACGCCAGATTGACAGCACCACCTAAATGTTCCACCTCTCTCTTAAACATGGACAGAAAAGGGCTTAGAAAAGTTACTGCTCCATCAACAAACCCCAGAATCTCGCACCCAACGTATCTACTTCATGGCTGCCCATGTTGGTCAGAGGGATTTGGGGACCTGTCATCCAGAAAAGTTATTTCCCCACCTCCACCAGCTGCGAACAGCCTCTCCCACTCTGCTTTCCCTCCAGTTTCTGTAAATCAAAACCAGAATCCCACTGCCTCTGGCAGTATTCCTGTGCCCGGTTTAAAGAAAAAGCAAAATCACTGAGGAGCCTTTTCAAGAATTCTCTTTTAGCATGGCTGAGAAAAACTGTGTCCAGTTACCTCAGGTTTGTGTGTGTTCTGTACCATCAAATTGGAACTGACATAGTGACTCTAATCGGGCTTTCAAGGTAAGTGAGAAATTTGAGGATTGGTTTTACCAGTTCTACTCCCCCAATCGGTTTCCATGGCTGAGTGGGGATTTGAACCCAGGCCTCCTTGAGTACTAGTCCATCACTCTACCCACTACACCACACTGGGTACCAGGTAAGTGTGGGTTTTCTTTGATAGTCCATCACTCTACCCACTACACCACAGTGGGTATCAGGTAGGTGTGGGTTTTCTTTGAAAGAGAAGTGCCCGATCTCTCTTGAGGAAGTGTGGTGGGGGGGCACAAGGACAAATAACAAAGAGGAACTGGTACATCCACAAAAATTATAAGGCAAAAAGAGCCTATGGTCCCAGAATGTCAATATTATAGTATGCACTTTATTCCAAATTAAAAACCTAATTTAGCTGTATTTAGAAACACCATTTGTTTATTAGGTCTGAGTCCAGTTTACTCATTCAAAAGGAGCTGGACTCAGATCTAATAAACAAAAAAAGTCTCTTTAAATATAGCTAACAAAAGTGCAATATTCACACCCTTGAAGAAAGCCTTAAAAGGCCAAAACGTGTCGGGCTTTTCATTTGGAATGAAGTGCACAATATAATTTTTACATCCTGAGAACTTAATCTCTTCCTGCTTTACAGTAGGGGAACCCAAGAGAAAATAAGTCTTCTTTCTTTCTTTCTTTCTTTCTTTCTTTCTTTCTTTCTTTCTTTCTTTCTTTCTTTCTTTCTTTCTTTCTTTCTTTCTTTCTTTCTTTCTTTCTTTCTTTCTTTCTCCCACCCCTTTGTGAATCTGCAAATCCAACCATTTTAAAAATGATGGAGAGTGAAGGATCATTCTGAATAGGTTCAAGTGATCACATCACCTGAACTTGCATTAGTTCAGGCGGCGGATCTGATGTAAAAAAAAAGAAGAAGAAGAAGAAGTCCTTGCAATACAGTGGACCCTCGACTTACAGACAGCTCAACTTACAGACTTTTCGAGTTACAGACTTCACTGGCTGCAAAATTTAGATTCAACTTGCAGCCGGAGAATCGACTTACAGACCAGAAAAAAACCAAAATGGAACAAAAATAGAATAAAAACTGCTGGTTATAGGATTAATCGGTTTTCTATGCACTGTAGGTCAATGGAGATTCGACCTACAGACTATTCGACTTGCAGCCACCATTCCAATACGGATTAATTCCTTAAGTAGAGGGTCCACTGTAGAGGCAAACGTTACAAATGGGGATGGGGGAGAGACTCCGGGCTGATTCACATTTGCTTTTATGTCATGTGATCATTGGGAGAAAAAAAATCACCTCATCTAATCCTGTAACATTTCCCTCATTTTTTGCCAGTGAGGCCATGCCTTCATTAGGGATTCATACTCCCACCCACTTATAACACTGAGCTATCTATCCAACCTGGCACGACAAAAATATGCACTTAGATATTGATAAGAAAGACTAAGATTCCTAAGACTTTGATAACGGTTGGCGAGAGAGAGAGAGAGAGAGAAAAGAAAGATGAAGCATCTTGTAATAATTCTTCTGAAAAGCCCAGAAGTCATGCCGATTTCTTTTTACTATTCACATTGTGTGTTCATTTATTGAGGCATGCATTGATGCATCTCATGCCAGAGAGTCTGCAGTGTGCTGATTTACTGATAGGAACGTCCTCTAACACTGACCTCAGCATCTTCCATCTGTCCTTTTCAATGTGGTTTTCAGGGCCTTCGCTCTCATAGGAAGCCAAATAAAGTGCTGCAATCAAAGAAACCAAGTGTTAACCATGAACTCACTCCAGAGGACCGGCATGACCTTCCTCGTCATAGGGAGAGTAATCTGATGTGCATCAGAGTGGACAGGAATCAGACCTTGAGGGTTGAAAAACCTAATCCCCTTAGAAGCTTGCAAAATATTCAGAGAGCAAAGACAGACACAAAATGTTGGAATTTCCCATAAGCAGATATACCCGTATTTTTCGCACCATAAGACGCACTTTTCCCCCACAAAACAGGGGGGTGGAAAGTCTGTGCGTCTTATGGAACGAAGAAAACAGATTATATTTTCCTGTTTTCTTCTCCTAAAAAATTGGTGCGTCTTATGGAAAGGTGCGTCTTATGAAGCGAAAAATACGGTATTTCTCATAGGATGCTTTCCACAGAGGAGAGCAGGCCGTTTTCATCCTCCTTCCCTTCCGGAAACTAAAAAACAATGCTGAGTGTTTGGGGAAACCTGTCCGAACTCTGGACTCTCTCCAGGTTGGGAGATGTTTTTGGCAGATGCACAGGAAAGCTCTAAAGGGAACTTTTTCACTTGTGGTGGAATTCCTCCACAAGTGAAAAAACCTCTTCCATCAGAAGAAAGAGCATGCTGGATCAACCCCAGACTTTAATCACGATTCTCTTGGTTTTCTCTTCCTGCTGTTTGGTTAGCATTTATGCCAAAGGATTTTTGAATTAAAGGGGTTAAATGCTGAATAGTCTTGCAGCCTCTCATGACTTTTACTTGATATAAAAGCTTTCATTGGTGGGTGCCCTTAACTAACAAATTAATTTGTTCAGACTCACTAGAAGAAGGGGGTGATTATTTCGATATAAATAATTAAGTTTAATCAGTTATTTCCAAGCTCTGTTGTGGAAGGCTGCACAATTCATCAGATGCAAACAGAAGGCCGCCAGAAAAAAAAAACCACATGTCAGATGAAACCTGATTGTCATTAAGGGCCTAGAAGACATTTTTGTTCTTTTTGCTATGACTAATATATCTATCCCACCCACCCCCATTATTAAAACATTTATATCCTATATTAACATTTCAGATGGGACCTTCATGGCAGCCAAGAACCCTCGGGTGAAATGTAATGCCTAGATAAAACTTTCACGAGCACCAGTTATTTTAAAACTGGCCCTGTTTTAGGGGTGAATTGTTGACCACCTTGGGAGCTATTATGAGTAAGAAATAGTTTGTAAATGACATAATGGATTCTCCACATTCAAGCAGAGAGACCAGCTCAACCCTCTCTTTACAAGTTGTGTGCTGGACAAGCATTCTAGCAATTCAAACATCCGGTTAGCCTCTGATGTTTATTCTCATTTATATCCTGCACTTTCTATCTCAAAAGAAGCATTCAGTGCCACTTACATCACACAAAGGAACAGTGCAATACAATGTAACTCATCAGAGAGATGCACAGTCTGAATGATAAGTACAGTGGTGCCCCGCATAGCGACGTTAATCCGTTCCGGATTAATCGTCGCTATCCAGAAACATCGCAATGCGGCCCTATGGGGCGAACACTCACCGTTATGCGAAGATCCTCCATAGCGCCGCCATTTTCGCTGCCTCGGTAAGCGAGGAAATCGCGCGAAAATGGTTGCGTCGGCCATTTTGGGCACCCGGCGGCCATTTTGGAACCGCCGATCAGCTGTTCCGCAAACATCGCAATGCGGAGATCGGTAAGCGAAATGCTTAGTTTAGGCTGTTAAAACATCGCAATGCGATCGCATTAGCGATCCCAAAAAATATATCGCTATGCGGATTCGTCGTTAAATGGTGCGCTCATTATGCGAGGCACCACTGTACTGAGGAAGTTCTCTCCCTGTCGTATCTGTATAGATGTCTGAATCTGGGAAGATCCTGCATTTCACACTGTGCTTTTGGTGGCTTTTCTCTTTTCAAGTGTCACTTGCACATTTATTGATTTGTACATGCAAAGCTGCACACCAGGTACATGTAACCCTGTCTACTCAGGACTGGTGTTGTAGAGACGTCATAGGCACTAGCCAATTGGCACTGTTCATTGCTGGCTTAGCTGCCAGCCTGCCGAACTCTGGGTCCTTCTCTCCATTTGTGAGAGGGTGTGCTGGAGAGGAAAATGTGTGGATTGTGATGAAACCGCTTCTAAACCAGCCCACAGGTCTATAAAATGTTGATTCTAAAAGTATGACATATGACTGCCAGAGCTTGGGGCTCTCTTACCGTCCTCACTGAAGACTGGGACAGTGACCAGGTATTGAAGGATTTTCCGGTCCCTCTCAAAAGGGCACTCCACTTGTTTCCATGTCATGAATTCACTCACTTGTTTAGCCAGTTCCCAAAATTTCTGTAATTAAAAAATGGAGGATATTTATTTATTTATTTATATTATGGCAGGCCCTCCCCTTGGAGGTTTTGTTTCACTTTGATCCTACAGAGTTGAGACTGGGTTTTACTTGCAATTCTGACTGAGCAAGCATGCCGCTCTAAGGAAATAGCCTCAACAGAAAATAACATGTGATCAGCTTTTGATACAAAATTTGGTCCTCAGAACCTTTCTCCGGCATATTCCTTTCAATATAGAACCAGTAGTAGTGCTGGGCAAGGACTCAGGCGCCCTGGGTTCAACTCCCTGATCAGCTGTGAAAGCTCACGGGAGGGCGGCCCTGGTAAAACCACCCCTTTAGCCACCGCCCCCTAGAGTCGAACACGACTGGACAAAAATTGTCAAGGGGAACCTTTACCTTTACCTTCCCCTTGGAGGCTTTGTTTCGCCTTTGATCCTACAGAGTTGAGACTGGGTTTTACTTGCAATTCTGACTGAGCAAGCATGCCGCTCTAAGGAAATAGCCTCAACAGAAAATAACATGTGATCAGCTTTTGATACAAAATTTGGTCCTCAGAACCTTTCTCCGGCATATTCCTTTCAATATAGAACCAGTAGTAGTGCTGGGCAAGGACTCAGGCGCCCTGGGTTCAACTCCCTGATCAGCCGTGAAAGCTCACGGGAGGGCAGCCCTGGTAAAACCACCCCTTTAGCGGCTCATATACCTTGGAAATCCTATGAGGCTGACAATACGTTGGGATCAAACGAATGGCATATACAGTCATTAGGAAGGGAGGAAGGAAACAGAGACTAAAGTAAGAGAACACAGAAGGGAAAGAGTGAAGGAGAGAAAGATTCTGACTACAGGAGAGCAGCGGATTCTGGGCATTGGAGTTGAAAATCAAAAATCTATACACCTCTAATTCTGACCTTGCCCACTTCTTGGCCCATAAACTCAGACATTACAAACTAGAAGTCAAACACACACACACGCACACACACACACACACACACGAACCCAAGCCAGGGCAAGAGTTCTCCCCCAAAACAGTGCTGCCCACACATGCAGCCTCGCTGACAGGCTATTACAGGCGACACCAAGCAATAAGGTCTGCGCCCCAAGGTTTCTTTGTCTTGTTTGCCCCTAGTGTTAAGAGACCGGGCCATGACCCCATGGGCAAGCCTTTCTCCTTGCATTGCAATGACCAGAGCCGGACAGTTCAAGCCAGCCGGACGTTGCGAGCATGCTCTACTTACTTCGAAATTGATGTGGCCGTTGGGCAGGCGGTTGGCGCAGCCCTCGTTGAGAAAGTAAATGTCCTTGATGAGCAGGCTGAAGAAAGGGATGACGATCTAAAGGAGGAAAGGAAAACAGGATTCTAAGCCCAGCCACTCATATGGAAATGTGGTTGCAGGATGGGCATGGGATCTTCAAATCAATTAAAATTTTGAAAAAATCAGGAAAATAAAGATCCTAAATGCAGAAGACGTGGGCGAATTCAGAGGGTCGAAGGGCATTTCCCCTTCCCTGGGATCTTCATAGGGTGCACCCAGTCCCCTCCGGTGGGTGCCCACTTTGAAGGCAATGATCCTGCTTCTCTGTCGTGCCTCCTTCAGGCACTGCCTCCAAGTGGGCACCCACTGGAGGGGACGGGGTACCAAACAATGGAACAGCTGTGTGGCCGTTGGCTGAACTGGCATGAACCACATGCTGTGCATGCTACATTTCACCTTACTCCTAATTACACAGGCTTGACCTGTGCTTTTGATTTATTTTTTATTTTTTTGTGAAAATATCTAGACAGGTAATAATTATGCTGACTTTGATTTGGCTCCCGTCCCATGGCCCAGGAGGACACCCACTGCTGGAAAGTGATCGCCAAGATCCTTCCTGAATTTTTTTGCCCCTTCTTGGGGAAAAAAAGAGGGGGATTTTGACCTAAATATATATGTAATTTTCTCCCCAACCAAAGTTTAAAAAATGAGTTTTTAGAGTTTTAGCTGAATACCAACGACAGAAAAAAAAATGGGCTAAGGAGCAGCCTGCTAGGATTTGGTGCCTGATTCTGCAACCTTGCTAGAAACTAGGAATGCTCAATTTCAGTGGGATGAAGGGCCCTTTTTCGAATTTGGCAGCAACCCGAGTGCTGTGGTTCTAAAGAGGCTGAGACTAAAGAGGTAAATAGCCAAAAATGACAAAATACATGTTGATTTTTTTAAAAAGAGTTAATGCAGTGGTAATGTCCTCTAAAGCAGTGGTCTCCAACTTTTTTGACACCACAAACCAGTTGGGGGGAGGGACACCACCCACGCTCATGCGCATGCGCAGTGCTCACACACGCGGGCACTCACGCACATGCGTGAAGGGGCAGGGGCACTCGCAGGGCATGCACATGCATGAAGGGGTGGGGGCTCTCACACACACATGCATGAAGGGGCAGGGGATGCTCACAGGTGGCGCATGCACTCATGCGCATGCGCAAAGGGGCTGTGTGGGTGTGTGTGGGAGTGCATGTGGGGTGGGGCAGAAGATCTGTCTCCACAGCCAGCCCGGCCAAGGCCACGGACCAGCACCGGGGCGCGGACCGGAGGTTGGGGACCCCTGCTCTAAAGAGTGCTACATGGAGTTTTGTTAACTGAAAAATTGGTTTCATTTTTTTAAAAAGGTGGCCTTTAGCTGAAGAAGCCCCTTTTTTGTTTTGTTTTGTTTTGTTGTGTGTGTGTGTGTGGGGGGGGTAACTCTAACCCCCTGCTATAGAGTAACAAGCCCACTGTCATTATGGTCAACTGCAGGCACCAGTTACAGCCCTACCTTCTCTTTATTGCTATGAGCTGTCAGAGATCTCTGAGCTGCTCCTCGCAGGGCTGTGCGGTAATTGTAGAAATTGCTGGAAGGATCCATCTGGTGCTAGAGGAGGAAAGCATGCCAATCTAGATCATACCTTTCATGTACATTTAAAGCAACAGCAGTGATCAAAGCCATTTTAAGATCACACAGAGAAACGAGATAATAAAAATAAGGAATGGATTATCAAACGTGTAAAAGAGCCTGTAACTGTTGTGAATTTAATTTCCCCCTGAATCAAACAGCTGGTTATGGTAGGGGTAAACAATGTGTGAATCTTGATTCCGCCAGACTCTGTCTCTCACCAATAACTAAGGCTGTAATTACATAGTTAAATAAAAGGAGATTTGCTGCAGAAGTGAAACAAATGCATTTGAATTTTTTAAAAACTGGTTACATGACACAAATGCCATTTTGATTTAGTTTGGTCTCTTTGTGCTTCTAAAGTGGACTTTTTCCCCCTGCCACTGGGGGCTTCTATTTTTAAAGCCAAAGTAATTGGAATGGAGTTTTCCCTGTGAATGCGGTGGATGTGCGGAGGAGGGCGTGTCTGTAAGTGATATTCTGGTGACATACTAAGCTGGGCGTGATAGTTTTTGATAGCAGGAACATCTCAGCCCTGTGATCTTTCCCCCTAACCAATCTTATGCATTTTTAATTTTTAAAAAGACTAGCAAATTTCGTGCTAGATCACCCTATTACTACATGGATATATTACTTTAGCCTCTGCACAGACAAAGACAGATGAAGATCAGTATGAAATAGAACTACCCTGTTTTCCTGAAAATTTATTTATTTATTTATTTATTTAATTTATATGCCGCCCACTCTACCCAAAGGTCTCTGGGATGCTCGTCATATAAGCCCTACCCCAAAAATAAGCCCTAGTTAAGTGAAACCCCGCCCTCCACCACTGTGCAGTAACCAGAAGAAGATGACATGACTGTATTTGAATAAATGTAGATTGTTGTACATGAAATAAATAAAACATCCCCTGAAAAATAAGCCCTAATGTGTTTTTTGGAGCAAAAATTAACATAAGACCCTATTTTATTTTCTGAGAAACATGGCATCTCCAACAAACTACAGCACACTACTATGTTTCTGGGTTTTATTTATTTATTCATTCATTCATTCATTCATTCATTCATTCATTCATTCATTCATTCATTCATTCATTTAAACTTATATGCCACCCATTTAGACATATGCCTATGGGAGTGTTATGGAGAACTTTGGCCAACTCTCCCTTTTCCCTAACATTGTGCATCAGTTCAAACAGTCCACCAGCTTTCCAATGAACCATTAAGGACAGCTAAAGATCAGGATCAAAGAAAGGGGGACTGCAGGCTGTGGCACACAATGTAGGTTACCTCTAAACTGCTACCTGCTGCTCATCCCTGAATTTACCATGAAAGTATTGGCAGATTAACAAACTGGTCAATGAGGAGCTCTTATCCTTTCTTCTGTTATACCCTCTGTGTATAATGGCATATAGAAAGTGTAGACTGCTAGTATAGTAACTTTTCTTCCTACTATTTACAATGTAACAAAATACAGTCAGCCTAATTGCTGTATTCCCCTCTTCTCACAGTCTTAACAAACGAGCATCAGAGGTACCATATGTTTCCGTGTATAAGACTATACTTTTGTCTAAAATATTTAGACTAAAAATTTAGGTTTGTCTTATACATGGAAGTAAGCCGAGGAGAGAACAAAAACAAGTGGAGGGGAAAGCAGGGATCAAAGCGATCCTGCAGCGCTTTCATCCCTTTCCCCCTACACTTGCTAAGCCCCACTTAGATTTCTTAATTTTGGAATAGAAAAGTGGGGGCGTCTTATACATGGGGGCATCTTGTACACGAAAAAATACGGTACATAAAACACACAGACAGTAGTGAGTAGGTCTGCACAGGGGGAATAGTGGGTGTGTCTACAGAGTCAAAGAGTATCTCATCTCATCCCCCACCACTCTTCACCTCCATGCATCTGGAGAAAGACGATTCAGATGCTCCACTCAGACTTACCTCAAGAATGTCGAACTTGGCGGTCTTGATTTTTGACCAGGTTTTCTTTAGTCTGGAAACTGGGCTCATGTTCATTCCAGCTTTTAGTTGAAAGGGTGGTGAGGGAAGAAATGGATAAGGAGGTAAGAGGGAAAGAATATATAAATGTTCAGGAGGAAAAGGTGAACATTTGCTATGAAAACAATGAGGCACTCCCATGACAGAAACAGATACATAGGTTTGGAGATCCATCTGAAATTGGTTCTTGTTATCCCAAGTCCTGCAGCTCCCATTAACCACCTGGGCTGATGTAACAGTTACAAACCATTCAGTTATTGTATAGCCCTGTGAAGCCACCGCTGGCTACTCTGGGAACTCCACAGGTGATGCTGAAAACAATGCTACACCCTCATTTCCTCTCACCTGAGAGGAGGTAATTTATTGTAAGGGGCAAAGCACTGAACTCTGGATCAGAAATTCCATGGTCCAAAGGTCATCTCTGCCATGAATTGAATGGGTGACTGTAGGCAAGGCAATTGCGTTGCAACCTCTTCCCACCTCTGCAACTAAGAGTCAATGATGTGGAGAGCTGGAAATATAAAGAGATCTATGATAATCAACATTCCCAACATCCTCATCATCTTAGAATTCCAGAGCTGGAGTGGACTCAATAGATCACCTAATCCAGCCCTTATCAAGGAGACAAGGTGGGGAATTGAACTTCCAACCTCTGGCCACCGATGTACCAATGTGACAGTAGAAGGCAGCAGGAGGAGAAAGAATAATTTAACTACAACTCTTGGCAGCATTCATTTGGTGTCTCTACAGTTCTGGCCTGTGTCAGATCAAAAAGATCTGCCACTTGTCCAAAGCAAGCATCCTTTACAATGGGAGTCGGGATCCTCCATAGCCCCAGTCAGTCTCAACAAAGCAGCTGAAGTTCTTAGCGTTGACTGGAAAGACCGAAAGTTGCAATCCTCCTCCTTTATAAACAAGTCTTAAAAGTGTGTATCCACAGAGAATTTCCTTTTATACTCACAAATAATGGCCATTAAGGAGTTGAAATTGCCAATGTTAAAGCACTCCCGGGCCACATCGATGAAGTACTCTATCATTCTCGCTCTGTGTTTTTTCTTCACCGGCTGCAAGAGACAAAAGGCAAGCAAGAGACTCAGGCAGGGGCATGATTTACTTGGCTTCCTGCTGGAACATTAAGGCTGAGAAAAGCCATTGGGTGGGAAGGAGGCAGGCACGGCACACCCACGCTTGTTACAACTCTTCAAGGGAAAATAATGTTTTAAAGTTGTGGTAAATTGGAGAAATGTCATGGCAGACGAAAACCCCTTGAGCAAAGAGACGACAAATCAGGAAGGTTCTGTCAAACAAAGGCTTAATGCTCTTGAAACACATAAGGAAGGATGGTTCGGCTTGCAACACAGCTGCCGGAGAAGAAGGGAGATGTAGTCAACAAATCTGTTAGCCTTACTGTGCCTCAGGACTTCCTGTTGCTTTGGCTGCATCAGAAAACATGGCTACTCTAAATGGGGCCCAGACACATTTTCTATTATCTACAGAAAGGTAGCTGCCAGGTGCAAAATCCAGAATATTTGAGTGTTTTGAACACAGACACAAAACAACGGAGACAAACCACAAGAAAGACAGACAGATTAATTTACCATGCATATTTCTGTGGCCACCAAGTAACTGAGCCTGTTGAACCACTCTACGTATGCCTCCAGGTTCCGTGTTTTCTTCCGATCACTGTAGCAACTCTGAGGAGACAAGATGGTGTAACCGTTTCATGAGTTTATATTTCTGGAGGAAAACCTGCACTTGCACCACTGGCTTAACTGGGTGTCCAAGAATCTAAGGCCCTGCTGAAGTGGGTTTCACCACCACCCGCAAGTTGCTACTGGAATGCCGTGTTACTGCGTACAAAATGCAAGGCGGTGTAATGCTTACTTCTATAGTTAATGTCAAGCACAAAACAAGCCCTTCAATGCTGGTGAAAGAACCATTCAAAAGCTTCAATAATCAAGTGATCGAGTTACCCATTCTGCATTATGGCACTGCATCTTATGAGTTATGGATCGACATAACTCTATAACATCCAACCCTGGATGATCCAGGTGCTCTTGGACTGCAACTCCCAGAAACCCTGGACAGTACAGCTGATGGTGAAGGCTTCTGGGAAGTGCAGTCCAAGAACAACGGGGTTACCCAAGGTTGGGATCTGCTACTCTAGAAGAACTCAAGAACAGTTTCAAAAGGCCTCCACTTACCATCCTTTAATCTGCCTTCATACTTTACACACGTCGGAGAAGTTCCTTTTTGAATCTAATTCCCAGAATCCTCTTCTCAGCACAATATTGGGGGAATTCTAGTACTTGTCATCGGAAAGTACCTAATTTTCCCCAATCTGTGCTTCCTTAGCAGATGGAATCATAATTCCGACCAGTCAGATGCCAACCAAGTGACAGCTGGCTTCATTTATCATACAATCTCCACCGAGCCCCACCCTGTTTACCTTGTCGTTATCCAGAGGATCCTTCTGTACAAAAGCTTGGACAAATTCTTGTGGTCCAATGTAATTAAGCCTTTCCTAAAGTAAGGAAAAAAGAATTTAATTGTAAGTCCAAATTCACGGATGGTCCCTAAAATAAGAAACAGGGAATAATAAAATAAGAAATGGGGCGGGGGGATAATGATGGGGATGTGAGCCATAGAGAGGTAGCATCTACTCACTAGCTCTATGTGAGTCAGCTGTTGGGCTAACATGTAGGGGTCACTACAGACGGTGATGATATCCCGCTGGATGGCCTGTGGTTTGGTCTTCAGGACTGTCAACCTGTCTGTCGAAGATGCATTGATTTTTGCAAGAACCTCTTCATATTGGCTAAGAGAGGCCAGCTTACGAATGAGACTCTGGATGATTTGCTGTACATTCTTCCGGTACATCTGCTGAAGGTAAAGAAAAATATATGATCACTGCTTGTCTTAAATATTGTGGTAAGGCCAGGGAAGTTCAGGGAAACACACCAAAAATTCTAACCATTCTCTTCGATACACCATATCACCAGCTCCTGGGTTTCCTCCCAAACTAGACCAAATCAGGGACAAAAGGTGAGCTATAATGCAACAAATAAACAAATAATACACAGACAGCCTTTCTAGGCACAGTGCCCTCAGTGGCAGGACAACAAAGGGAAGTTATTACTGTAAAAGATTGCAAATTCTAACACTGGAATCTCTCAAACAGGAAAAGAGAAACTCATCTCTAGCATTCAACCATTTTGCACTTAATCTGTGTTTCCCTCCCACTTCCAGGTCCAGTTGTATTTAAAACACACACACACCAGGTAACTAATTTTGCTAAACTGCATCAATTTTGCATTATGGGGCAGATGGGCATGTCAGGATCTAGCCCCTTGGACAATACACCTGGCAACTGAGTGATTTACCTGTCCTGCATCGGCACTGCAGAGAAATGTAGGATATACATTTTACAGCAAATAAATGCAAAACAACACTTCGAATATTTATCACCTTTTAACTATACACCACTTTCCGGGGGTATACAACACACTCACAGCAGCCCACACAAAAACTGCTATTACACAACATGAAAATAATAATACAATTTAAAGGAATAAGGCCATCAAACAATTCAGGGGGAAAACCCAGCAGGAACAATTAAAGTTACAATATAAAAACACCCCACAACCTTGGAGCAATTTGTTAAAAGCAGATGTAAACAAGAGCTCAGGAAAGCATAACCGTGGAGCCGGAAGGCAACCCAAAGATTATTCACCCCAGCCCCCTGTCAATGCAGGAAACACATAGCTACAGCATCCCTAATGCTGGCTATCCAACCTCTGCTTACAAATCTCCAGTGGAACAGAATCCACCATCCTCCAAAGCATTGAACTCCAAAGAAGATTGACAGCCAGTGAAGCTGGTACAGAATCAATGTCATGCCAGATTAATATCAGAAGAGGAAACCTCAGGAAAGGTTGGTCCTCACACTTCCAAACAAACAATTCTGTTTTCCAGAGGCATAGCTTGTATGTCAGCTGCACCTGAGGAAGGAGGCTTTACTCCACAAAAAGTGCACACCATAACACAATTGTGTGTCACAAGATTCTCAAGAGTCGTTACAATCCCTGAGAAATTTCATCACTTGACATTTTTCCAGGTCATGTCAATATACACCCATTGCCATCTGCATTCTTAGATCTAGATGTAGCAGGTTATAAAAATTCACAAAGCAGAATTGTAAGACAGTTCTGCAGTTGTCAACTTGCCTAACTTTGAGTTCATAAGGAATCAAGGAGGGAGGGGTTAAAGCAGGATTCCCACAACTTGGAAAAAGGCATTGCGAAAACGTATCGACCCACAGGTCAAGCAACAAAGTGGAATTTTTGTTCAAAGGGACATTTCTAGATCTATTTCGCTTCAATAAAACCGGAGCAACCAAGCAGACTCCCAGACTGGTTAAACTTAAGAGGCTGATTTACATCTCAACATTTTTAGAGAACATGGAAAAGTTAGTTTTTTGGACTACAGTTCCCACCAGTTAATACAGATACTTCTGATCAAGATCCAAAATCAGAAACTCACCAGAATATGGTTTAAAGGCATGCACTTTGAGAAAATAAATAGGTCCAGAAAGTAAAACTTCCACCAAGAACAAGGAGATATCTCTCTCTCTCTCTCTCTCTCTCACACACACACACACACACACAGAGAGAGAGAGAGAGAGAGAGAGACCTTTCCAGTAAAAGCCACAGGGTTAATTTTCCCTCCTCTTCTGGTTAGACCTCTTCCTCAAAGTCAACCAGCTTGCGGTTGTGTGGGTAAACTGTCTGGGCAAGCTGTATGGCCAACACAAGTGGTTTCTGGACATTTCTGAAGCAATGACTCACACTGAACATGCAAGGTGTTATAAGTAGATTTTATAAGATAATCTGTAAATTCAAAAAACACAAAAAAGCCTCTTTGGGGTGAAGCAAGAATGATAGAAACCACGGCATATTACATGTTACTATTATAGAAACCACTGTCTGGATAGGTTACAGAGTTAGATTTCCGGCTGCAGACCAAGAGTTCAATTCCCTACTGGGCATCACAAAAGAGCCAGCCTGTGTGACCTTGGGCAAGCTGCACAGTCCCAGGGCGCTCCCCACAAGAAGGGAATGGTGAACCATTTCTGAGTATTCTCAGAAAACCCTGGAAAGGGTTACTGTAGGTCAGAATGGACTTGACGGCACAAAATTATTAGTACAGAAGCTAATGCTTTTCTTTTTCCTTTTCTTTTCTAAATTAACCTTTCTAAAAACCTGGTTAAAGGGCATGATCAAGCTGTGAAAGACAGTGACAGATCTGGTATTTATTTTTCTGAAGGGCACTGAGACGCCGCATGACAGCTCAGGAGACTGTAATAAGAGATGGCTTGCAGTAGTGATATAAATTTTTTTAGAACAGCCTAAAGGCAAAGGGTACCCTTATCACCGAATGCCTCTCTGATGAGCTATGTAGGGCAATCTTTTGGGGGCAACCTCACAATTTGACATGACAGGATGTAAAGGTCAGTGCTAAGATGGCGTCTTCTATTGTAACAATTTCCAAAGGGGCGGCCATGTTAGTCTTGTGCAACAAAAATTGCAGTGTGTGCTGTAGCAGAAGCCCCTCAAATTCATTATCACAGGAATTTTTATAGACTTATTTAACTGGTTTTTAAGATGCTACTAGGTTTTCTCTGGGGGGTCGTTTTGTTTCGTTGCGCTAAGATGACAGGTGAATGACTTTATATTGGAACCATCTTTTAATTTTGTATGATGATAACCCTGATAGGGTTATTCAGGTATGTAAGATGTTCCATGCATGGTTTACCATGGCAAGTTCTCATGCGTTTCAATGACTGAGCAGAGATTTGCATCCAGATCTCCCAATCCATAGTCCAACACAGTATCCATTATAGCATATATTTACTTTTCTGGGATTTTGCAGAAATCTGTATTCTTCTAAACCATCTACCTATCTTGTGGAAATAGTCAACAAAAGTGAGTTCTCTTAAGGTAGCTAAATAATTGATACTGATCTACTGTTAATCAGTGGACGGAGGATCTTGTAACTCTTTCAAAATTCAGATGTGTGGCATATTGACAGAAACTGTATTAATAAGTCTTAAATAAGGACAGCATGAAATGCAGACCACCTGAAGTGATTCAGAACTGTGATCAGAAAGACGGCTTATTTCTGGGCTTGACCGATCAATATTCTGACATTGCGTAAGACAGCTTCAGAAGCTCTTTTCTGTGGGGCAACCTGTTTTACACCAGCCTGCACCATCATTCCAAAATATTTTCCAGCTGCTCATCTCATCTGTTCATTAACTAATCTCTTGAGGCTGGAGTCGGTGGGTCAGAGGGAGGACAGAGAGAATACAATGCATTCAAGGTCATTCTCTAGACTCAGAAACTCTGTTTTAAAAGCACCCTTAGCCTTTCTGTAACAACTTATCAAACAAATAACCCTAAGACGCCTCTAAGGAACCCTGATTGGAATCTACATTTGTAAACTCTTGATGCAAGTTGGGAATGGTTTATGTGGGAGTCCTGGGAGGCTTTGCATAGATCCTTAAAACAGTTTTCAATTGTATTGTGTAAGGTTTTTCCTCTTTTAGGGACCGAGCTGATCTAAATCCTTATGTGACAAATGAAAAAGCAAATTAAAAAAACTTATTGTGAACTTCTAAATATGTAAAATCTCTGGAGCATCAGGGAAAAGGTCTCAGGAATAATACATCCATGTGTATGTATCTAAGAATTTGTGTTTTCACGTGCTAACGGGCAGGCACCAGCTGGTGAACAGGTGGCTGGCAGATAAGGAAAGAGGCAGCTGGATTGGGAGGGGGGGTTGAAACGAAGGAGAGGCCCAGTAGGATTTCAAAAGCCGATCAGACATTGAGCAGATCGACTGGAGGTGTGGAAAGAGAGAAAGAAGCCATACAGGCCAGCTCCAGTACGTGATTTGCATCCCCAACGCACAGATGGGTGAAAACAGTCCTTTGAAGTAATTCTGTACTGCTTGCTTCTCTTGGGGTTTGACGTCTTTTCCCTCCAATCCAGTATTAAAACTGGGGACAGATCGGACTCTTGGCCTGCAGCCACCAAGAGCTAGCACAAAGGGCCAGCAGCTCCATGCTTTCAGAGTCGGCACAAGAGTAGCATTCAATACCATTTTTAATTGCAGGAGTGCACACAGCTTGTTCAAGCGGTTTTGCAACTCCGTGGTAGCTGGGATATTTTCCCACTGCACTGGAGATTCAGACCTCAGATTTAAAGGGAGAAAAAGATTCGAGGTATGGAAACGAAGTTCAATGAGGTAAGACTGAAAGAACTGGGCATGTTCAGCCTTGAGAAAAGAAAAATGAGGGTAGATATGATAGCACTTCTCAAATACCAGAAAGACTGTCATGCAGAAGAGGGGCAGGATCTGTTCTCAGTCATCTCTACAAGACACACAACAATGAGCTCAAGTTACAGGAAGCCACATTCAGGCTAAAGATCAAGAAAAACTTCTTAACTGTTAGAGCAGTACAACAGTGGAACCAATTACCTCGGGAGGTGGTGAGCGCTCCAAGAGAAATTTAGACAACCACCTGGCAGATAGCCTTTGATTTCTATTCCTACACTGAGCAGGGGGTTAGACTAGATGGCCTTCAAGGCCCCTTCCAACTTCATGAGTCTATGATTCTATTAGCTTCAAAAACAATGATCACCAACTGCATGGGTCCCAAGAAAATAGCAGCCATTGCCCTCATGATTATAAAGCAGCAGCAGATATAATGCCTTCCCATTTAGCTGGCTATGCAGGGAGGGTTGTGTATGTTTTTTCGGCAACAGTGGTTCTTGGTGAGATATCCCAGGGACTGATGCATATTTGCAGGCTCGAATCGAGAAATCCCACTGTGTCCTTCGGTTGCATTTAGGATGAAGTTACTGCTAGAGGTGTTGTGAATGAGGACTCCCAAGCTGAAGCCTCATAACAGGGTTTAAGAAATAAGCCTGCTCCAACCTCAGCCTTTCCTGTTCTCTCTGAGCTCATCTGCACTCCTCAGAGTAGCCAGGAAAGAACAGGATTCTCCCAGGAAGAGGAACTTGTTGTAAGCTATCCCCCTGTGATGCAAAGTATCTGAGATACTTTCATCTAGAATGGGCAACTAAGAGCCATTAGTTTAACAAAAAAAATTTCCTTATTTATTTATTTAAAATATTTTTACCCCAGGTTTCTCTTTAAAAGGATCCAAGGCAGCCTTCTTGATACAGATTGAGCTAGCACCTTTGCCTCTTCTGATTGCCACAAACGAGATGGGATGCAACATAACATCTATGCTTCAGATCAGCCGGTGGGGATCACATAGGACACAATTCTACTGGTTACTTATATCAGTGTTAAGTGCAATCATGGATTGCTGCTAGTTAAACAAGCCACCACTTGTATTCCTTGCCACATGCCAGCCACAATAACTTGGTGCAAAGCAAGGAATACAAGCAGCAATTCATTAACTCCACAGCAATGCACAATTAGACTTACGCCAGTGCAAATAACCAACAGAATTCTGGCTATGCAGTATTGGAATCATATTTTTAGCACTCCCATGGATTAAAGATCTGTTTTCCCACACAATTGTTAAACTGGCTGTTGCATTTCCAGCACCAGTCATTCATCTATGAAACCTGCAATGGTTAAAATACACTCACAACCTCACATGAACATTCCTACTTATGCCTGAACTGTTTTAAATCGCACTTTTAAATATACTTAATGGCAATGCCTTACAATAGCTTGAAATCTTCCAAAACAAAATAAAATCATGGAACACTGGAATCATTCCTGCCCTCTCAAGAGGCCTACCTCATCCCCACTGGCTATTCGGTGGGCCAGTTCTTTTAAATTCCTCATCATCCGCTCATCCCGGAAATCGTAGGGAAACGTCTCTGTCCACTCTGTTAACAACTGTAGGATTTTGGGAGCAATCTTCCGTAACCGGCTCTGGAAAGAGAAAGAATGAGAGAGAGAAAGACAGAGATCTATTATACGAGCTCTTCAGTAAATCTTTATGTGCCAAAGTTACTACAGAATACAGTGGTGCCTCGCTTGACGATGTTAATTCGTTCTTAAAAAACGCTAAGTGAAAATAAAAAGCCCACAGAAATGCATTAAAACACGATTAATGCGTTCCTATGGGCTTAAAACTCACCTTTAAGCAAAGATCCTCCATAGCGCCGCCATTTTCGGTGCCTCTAAAGTGATGAATCCGTACCTGAAAACAGCGAGCGGCCATTTTGTTTACCCGGCGGCCATTCTGAAACCGCCAATCAGCTGGCCGAAAATTGGGGCTTTGCGATGATCACTTCCCTGTGATCATCGCAAAGCGAAATTCACCCATAGGGACCATCGCAAAGCGATCACTTTTGCAATCGCAAAACCAGCGTCGCTAAGCGATTTTGCTGTAAAAGGGAGTGATCGCTATGCGAGGCTCCACTGTATTAATATTTCTTATAGCTTGTTCATTGGGAGAAGTAACGTGTGTTTTTTCTGTACCTTTGGTGCTAAACTAAGACTGGGTGCCCTGGAGTCCTCCTGATGTTATTGGACTACAACTCCCATCAGTCTTTGTCAGCACAACATACCCATACATGAAAGCAATCAGTCTTAGAAAAGAGTCAACAATGGGTAATAGGGAAATTCTTATTCACAGTGAGTGAAAACTGCAATGGCATGCAAGTTAACAATCCCCTGTCAAAAAACTGACCATCCTAACATTTGGAAGCCCATCAGCCAAAGCCTGGAAAAGTTACTTTTCTGGGATTACAACTCCCAATTCTGCTTTAGGTTTTGGGGAAAAGAATTATAAAGAAACTGTAGTATTCACAGAGAAGACCTCACAGGTTTTTTCTCTCTCCCCCTCTCCCTTCTGTTGCTGGATTTAGGCTGCCTCATCTCCACCCAAATGGTTAGGCTTTCCACTGTCACACTCTTTCCTCCTCCCCACGGGAGGACAAGGGAGTAAATGGAGACTGGAAAAACACCCATCATGAGCTAGGTTGATTCTCTAAACATCTTATGACTGGTCCAGCCTGAACCTCCACCAGCAATCTTGTTGACGCTTCTCTGAGAATAAGACACCCAATTCCCAAAACACCCTAATGGCAAAGTCATCAGGCCGTGTTCTTCCTTCTTCCAACCTTTGTGAAAGGAAAGGGAAAAGCAAAAGCACAACGTAGCACAGCACTGGAGAGAAAGGAAGGAGATCTCTCTGCAGACATAATGGAAGGTCTCTGGTGTCCACTGGTAGTCCACTGAGTACAGCATCAAGTGTTAAGTAGGTATGTATAAACTGAGTGTAGCAGTTGAAAACTGAACCAGAGAACCAAATCCCCATTCAGTTATGAAGCTCACTGGATGACTTCCCACCATTATCTCTCTGCCTAAACTTCATTACAGTTATGTTGAGAAGACAAAATAGGATGGGGTCTGGGGATCAAATATATCACCTTGTAATCCATGGAGGAAAGCTGGACCATTACAGTAAGTAACTAAGAAATACAGCTAGCCCTTAACGCACAGAGCTTCCGGGGCCAAAGGTCATGGATCAAACATGCTTTTCTCTTATGACACAACACCAAGTAACATGGATGGGGCAGATTGCTTACTTTATCAGCGGCAGGCTCCTCCAGCCTCTGTTGCTCAGTACATAGGTGGCAAACCTTGGCCATCAACTCGTAAGGATGTACAAAGAGCCGAGAGCTGAGCAGGAAAGTAAATATGTATGTTCTCTGCAAGTAAGAAAGAAAGACAAACAAAAGAGATTTCACATTTCATGGATACCAGCTGTGTGCTCAGCGCTTTATCGGGCCAAGGATCACCTGTTGCATGCTGGGAGAAGCACCCGGAATTGCAGATGCAAGCATTAAACGCTAATTGCACCAGACGTCACTGCCTTCAAAATCCACCTTAGTTACATCACGCTCTGGTTACACAAGGCTAGACAACAGACAGCGCAGGGCAGGGCCCATCACTCAGCGCTGACAATCCTTGGGAAACAAAAGCACGCACAAACACTCAGCACCTGAGATTTGCTTGTTATGCTAGTTTGGCGTTCCTTCCCTTGCTAAGCACAAGCATTATAGTCTAGTGGTTGAGATCTGCTGCCCACAAACAGGTACCTTGCCAATATGCAGAACTACAACCACACCCCAACACCGAACCAGCATACTGCCTGGAGATGATAGGAACTGTAGTCTAAAATGTCTAGAACAATAATTCCCAACCTTGGGTCCACATACGTTCATGGACATTCTGGCCAGCACAGCTAGTGGTGAAAGTTTCTGGGAATTTTAGTCCATGAACATCTGGGGACCCAAGATAAAGAACCACTGGTTTAGAAGGTGTCCATACAGTAAGCAAAGGAAGACTGGTGGTTAACAAAGATGTCAGCAACCCATCTAGTGCTTCATACTTTTGAATAAAGCATCAATTGCACTGATTTGGGCCATCATGAATTGCACACTGTTATTTTTCCACAGAACAGCATTTTCACTGATATGAAAAGTCTACTGAAAACTGCATGAAATTTCTTGCCAATGAATAAAAGAATGTTAACACACAAGACATATATAACCATTGTGTAGATTCACAGGCTGCAACTGTCCAAGCCACTTCTGTGTCTTCCAAGATTTCTCATTACAGTGGTGCCTCGCTAGACGATGATAATCCATTTCACTGAAATCACTGTTTAGCAAAATCATTGTCTAGTGAAAAGCATTTCCCCATTGGAATGCATTGAAGTCTATTTAATGCGTTCCAATGGGGAAGAATCGTCGTTGTCTAGCAAAGATCGGCCATAGGAAAGCCGCTTTGCAAACCGCCAATCAACTATTTAAATCGCTGTCTTGCAAAGCTTAGGTCCCCAAAACACCTGTTTGCAAGCGCGAAGGGAGCTGTCAAAATCATTGTCTAGCGGAAATCGGTTTGCAAAGCAGGGACCAAACATTGTCCAGCGAAATTCCCCCATAGAAATCACTGTTTTGTAAATCGCTATAGCGGTCGCAAAAAGCCAATGTCTAGCGAAAAAACTGTCATGCGGGGTTGTCTAGGGGTAACTGTCTAGCCAGGCACCACTGTAATTTTTTTAAAAAAAATAAGCTAAAACATGGCAGCAAGTTTTCTAGCTACTTACTTGTCTAGCTTATCTGCAACTATTTTGTATTTAATTCATTTTGTTTACATTTATTCAGCACCAAACTACTACTGTCAACATTTTTTAAACTATACATATTCTCTCCTTCATTCACTTTCTCCCTTAAGTGAAATAAATGGATATTTCCTGCTTCCCAAATGGAAATTATCCTGAAAATATTCAGTCTAATTAAAAACATCCTGAAACAATTAGAGCAGTTAAGGAAAAAAAAACACCCTCTAATTTCCCCTAAAAATTACTGCTGGAAACAATGGCAACAATTAAATGAATATAAACTAAGTGGGTTAAGTATTTTAGAAAAGCTTCAGATTATCTAGAAAAGTGGCTCTTTGACATTTGGGGGAGACATTTGAGGCATCAGAAAGGGGCCATTTGGGCTGATGATCAAACTGGAATTTGGTCTTTGCCCAGCCTAGATTAGCCCTATTTTGCCTTATACTGATTACATAATATAAGATAAACCATACATTCCTCTGAAAGAAAAAGTCATGCTAATTTTAGGTCGTTGTTGTAGAAATTTTTAAGATCACACGTTGAAGCCACATAGAAAACATTAAAAAGTGACTAGTGGATTTTCTTTGCATCTCTCTGTAGTAACATAGCAGTCTTTCCCTCTTTGATCTCTTCCAAGGTCATGCAAAAATATTTCGTATATTTACCTAGCATGTGCAGGGCATGTTATGTGAGCAGACACAAGGAAAGCATATGACAGATTTCTGATGTGGGATAAACAGCAAAGACTGCCATGCCAGTAGAACTGTAGTGCAGTAAACCAGAAAAGCTTGATACAGAATAAGTCTGCATTCTTGGTAGATCCCCAGATGTGACAATACCAGCAAGTTTACTCCTCACCAGGAACAGCATAAGCATTAGGTAAAAGGAGGTAGCTGCCCCAAACAACTCATCTGGGGCAGCATGAAAGGGTTGGGATTGGGGGCATCTCTTTTACTACATCTCATGTCGCATCTTCCAAGCACTAAATGCTTATTGTTTATTGCCAACTGTTAGTCAATAATGTGATGGAAAATTCCATAAAGCTTCAAGAGTTCCCCATCTCCATGTGAGTGTCAGTCAGTTTGTCACGCAGCTTCCACACATGAACATGAATCAACCGGGGGAGAACGTGAGGAGAATTTTGAAGCCATAACAAAGCCAGCTTATTTGTTTGAAGAGTGAGCATCAAAGGAGTCAGGTAGGTAATACTCATATTAAGAGATTTAGCATAATCAATTACTCAGCACGATCTGCACCCAACATCAAAGGGGGGAAACGATTTCCATTCTGAACTCACAGAAAGGAAGACTGAGAGATAAGCAGAATGATTACCCAGAGGACACAGAAGGTAAACAATGATACACAGAGTCTACTCCATTCCTCAGTGCAGGCATATCTCTAAATTCAAGGATGTTATATCATCATCATCATCCTCTTAGAACTGCAGAGCTGGAAGGGATCGAATCGATCATTGAGTCCCTCCTGTCAAGGAAGCACAGTAGGGAATCGAACTCCCAACCAATGGCTCCACATTGAGAGGCATAAACCACTGAGCTGTCGAGCAATTTTAGTATGGAAGTAGATTTAGCAGATATCATGGATGGCTAAAGGACTAATTTTGGAGGGTGCCCCCCACTTGTTCACAAGCCATGTACTGTAAATACATCCATTACCACCTTTTCAATACAAGGCACTCTGCTTTTTCCCAAGATGCAGGTCTCAGGACCGCATTGATTGTATTCTGGGATGGGCGGTGTGAGAGACAAGCTATGATCTAGACTCTCCCCTTTGGCTATTACTCTGGGAAGACACGGAGAAGAATAACTCACTTGAACACCTGCCCTTGCCACCTGTTTTGAAATGGTGTCATTTAGATAATCTGCTTTTTGTAGGCAGCAAAGGAAGAAAAACATCTGTCTTTGTTAGTATCCGCAGCTGCTGCTGAGCTGGCTGAGAGGAGAAACAGACAGCCCGCCTTTATCTCTGAATAGTGCAGAACTGACTTTCCATGCCACCTTGACACAGCTGACCATTTTATTGCTGCATCATGATGATCTGCTCAGGGTGTACTGAATCCTTGGGGAGAACAGCACTAAACGGTGGAATTGGGCAAGGAGGCACGCTAAAAACCATGGGGGTCAGCTATCAGGCAAACAGTGCAGCCCACATGTTGAGGTACAGTTCATTTTAAGAGATGCTGAACTTTGACTTGCAAGAAAAACAACTTCAGGCTACAGCTGCCTACTGTTTACTTTCCCCACAGGTCAAACCATTCTCCATAATACAAACAACACACCTTGCTGAGTGCCCCCATTTCTCTTTATTTAGATACACAGCAGGCCAACTCCATTTAATTTGCAAATGGCGCAGACTTACATCGGGGTAGTAATCAACAGTGGGCACTAAGTGCTGGATGAGGGCTTCCAAGGATCCCGACAGCAAGTTGTTGTCATGGTAACAGAGGCCTCCACAGCTGTCCTCTTTCGCCTGGTACAAGTTTCGGTTATAACTGCTGCTGTCGAACATAGCGACAAAGGGCAGAGTTTGTGGCATGTTTTCCTATGGAAACAAAGATGTGAGAAACATTTATACACCATGCCCAATGGCTGGGCCCCCTCTTTCAGCACTTCATAACCATTCTATCTGTCCAGAAATGATAAATATATAATATCAAGCCAGGCAACACATTTCACTTCACCCTCCAGAGTCTTGCTTCCTCCCCTCTCCTTTCTCCCTTCCCTCCAACACAGTTACAAAGTGGTTCTCGATGCAATTTAGCACGCAAGAGAGCTTTTTTGTGTGTGTTGAAGGAAACCACTTTGAATGCAGGATCCCACCACCACCTCAGACACTATGATGAAGCTCATGGCAAGAAGAGAAACATAACTGCTATCGATGCGTGCTGCCTGTTCCTTCACTGAATTTTTAGCACTTGCATAGAGCCGCTGTCTTGTTAACTGAACTTCTACTGCAACTGAACACCTATTCCGACAATGACACAAAGTCATCATTAGGATAGGTGACCATTTCCCTCACGAGTGGTTGAACAGCATGCAGGAGTTTTCAAGGACCACACCATAATGACAGCACAAAATGCATTTATGGCACTTACAGACTGAGCATCTTCATAAACTGACAAGACTAGAAGTGAGCTGTCATTGGAGATTGACGGTCAGCCCATCCCTGCAAAGTTTTGAAAGGATTAGGCCTGCAAATGCATATCTGGTCCAGGTACATGCCATTCAGGCAACTAAAAGTCCAGATTGGAAAGATACGTATATCTTCATATCCTTCCCAAAAGCAGCAAGAGTGGAAACTGATTGCAATGCCAAATTTGTGTATTCCACAATTCAAGAAAAATATAGGAGAAAATACTTTTTTTTTTTTTGGTCTCCATCAATCATGCCCTACAGGTAATAATATCCTCAGGAGGATTTCTCAAAGACCCTCCCAACAAGGCAGGCTTGTAATGTGACAGGCATTGCTGAAACTTGACTTCTAAATCTTTTCAGTTCAAGGGATTAACCAACAATGCTATTTGAAAGATTAAGTGAGGTAGTGAAAGAACCTCCCCATCGCTCTTTTATAGGCTCTCAATTATTTCAGCTCTCCAGAAAAAAAAATCACTTGAAATCATAACTCTGAGATGTTTCATAGATACAAATTTGCATGGACTGCAATGGGCTTATGCAAAGTTCTGTTAATGAATCAGACTTAAGAGTTTCTTGTTTTCAAGATGTGAACTAAATCAACAAGCTCCACAGTCAACAGCATTCTTGACCTCTGCACTCTGTAGGTAGAGGTTGTTCATATAAGCCAAGTAAGAGTCATTGGAATTTGGGAACAGTCAAGGAAGAATGTTTCAAAAAAAATGCAGAAGGGCTGAATTTCTTAGGGCTAACTGTATATCCAACATGGACCTCCCTATGCTTTGGGAACAGCACCCTGAATTAGTTATGTTCAAAAAACCACCACAAGAAAGTCTTGACACTGCATAGAGCAAAGGAGCAATTCAGATTTTTAAAAAGCGCATTAAAAAGTTCTTGAACATTTTCCCAGTTTATCTCCAAAAATATCCCATACTCTGTTATTTCCAGTTGAACCCTGTCCCAACAAGACCTCGAATTTTATCAGTTGTAAGATATAATTGGAGCACCATTTATTCGTAATCTTCATTTAGAAATGAGTATTCCATATAGCTGTAACAGTGGGGAAGTTGACTTTTCAGTAACAGAGTATGTAGTTCAAGGAATTGCACAAAACGTCTGCAGAAAAGAACTCCAGGTACTTCATACCAAACTAGAGCTTCAAGGACTACACAGAACAGAGTCCTGGTAGCTAAAGTGGTATCAAACATCTATAACAGACAAATTTAGTACATTGGCTTAAGGGTGTTTTTTTTTCTGATGGCGGGTTTGTTTCAGCATAGCAGCCTGACTCCAGACCACTGCTTCTTAGCTGCAGGCTGACAATTAACTAATGCATTTGCGTTTTGTTACAGCATTTTATGTTTTTTATGGCCTGATGGTGAATAGCATGCTATGTGTTTCAAGAGTTTCCACCCTTTATATCAAAGGTACCATAAAGGTGCTCTACCCAGAATTCAAAATGTTATGTTTTAGAAAGCACTTGTTGTGTTATTCACTGCTTCTCAGCAGCCACATTGCCATTTATTTTATCATTACTTCAGTCATGCAAATAAACCATTATACTGCATATTAACAACTTGTGGTTACCCAAAATACAGAAAAACACAGGAAAATATTACATGATGCCCCCTAGTGGCACGTTCTGATATTGCATCTTGGAAATATTCATAAAAATAGAAAAAGACAAAATCAGAAATATGACACTTGGGACTGATCAGAGAATGGCATTAAGTCTCAAAAATTCTTGCCAAAATTCCTGGACTGCTTCAAGGCTCAGTGCAGTGCAACAGGTATATTGACATTGATTGGATAATAAGAAATATCCATCTGGCCTATTTTTCCTGCTAGTGCATCTGAAGAATTTGTTCATGCTTAAGGTTTACACATCTGAGTTTTGTCATAAGGAAAACTTCCAGAGTTTCCATTTGGTAATTCCAAGTGCAACTTAATCAGTGTTCTCTGGAAGTCATGGCAACTGGACTTCTTTCTTACTAGCTTGTTCGCTACTCATCCAAGTAGCTTCTTTAGTCTGAAGAAGCTACTTGGATGACTAAAACGTTTCAACCTCATAAGAAAGAAGTCCAGTTGACATGACTCGACTACCAGATAACCTCACCTGGATGACTGAGAATCTTCACAATTAACCAGTGTTCTTTTGTTATAAATTACAAACAGAATTGCTATCAATGTCCCACACTATCTAGAGTATTGAGCTTTTTCCTACATACACGTCCTAACTATCGTACATCCACGTTAGTGGGTGTGGCACAGCCATATCAAATAGGAACAGGAATGAATGCAATGAATTAAGTTCACAGTGTGATATTTAAACAGACATCAAGAGGACTTCCTCTTCCTGTGCTTAGTCTACCACACATTTACTTAAGGCATCCTGAAAATAGACAAATTTCAGCACATGAGTATAAGCAAAAATAGAAACTTAGGCCAGAAAGACTGCTACAAAGGCAGATGAAAATCCTGAACTGAAAACAGTAGCAATCTAGTAATTGTCTTCAAAAGCACTCTGTCCCTAGTTTGTTTTCTTTTCACATCAGAACTGTACATCAAATGAGGAACAGGACACGAAGCCTGTGGAAGGACTGGAACTCAACTCCATGATGAAGCACATGTCTGGAAAAATGTCCCAGTCCGGTCCCTGGCCTCTTGAGGGAGAACAGCAAAAGCTTTAGTAGGAAACTCTGGCGAAAGCCACAGCCACTCAATGTAGAGACAACCCTGAACTAGATAGACGTATGGTTTGACTTGAGATAAGACGTATGCTTTATCTGATAGTCCAGCTATCTCCATCTCAAGCTATCTCAAGGATCATGTCTCCCTCCGTTGAACCTATCCAAGTGCTACGATCATCAGGGGAGGCCTTTCTCTTGGACCCACCTACCATTGCAGGTGCATTTACTGGAGATATGAGAGGTCGCCTTCTCTGTGGCTGCTCCCAGGCTTTGGAACTCCCTCCCACTGGAGGCCAGCTTGGCCCCATCTTTGCTGTCCTCCTGCAAGCAGGGAAAGACCTTTCTCTTCAGGCAGACTATTCCTAGAGGTTGGCTCTCTAGGAGAATATAAATGGGATGGTTTATATGTTGTGGCTTCTAAACCTGTTTTTAGTAATGCTTTTAATATAATGTTATTAATTCTTCTGCATATTTGAATAATTTAGTGTTTTTAACTTTTGTGTTTTAAATGATGCAAGTCTCCTTGGGTACTTTTTTAGGAGAAAAGTGGGGTAAAATATGACGGACGGACAGACGGACGGACGGACGGACGGACGGACGGACGGACGGA